TCTCTACTGGAAGGCCATTCCCCTGACCCCAAAGGCACCTATGCAGCTTTCCCTTTGAACTGAATGTAAAAAAGAGATCTCAACCAGCCTATTCTGAAAGGATGGCCTTTTGAAAAGGCACAGCTTGGAGAGACCTGGCCACAGGCTTTGCTGCTCCTCCCCAGCACCGCAGACACTGCCACCGTGGGCCAGTGTCTCTACGTGGTCCATCTCCAGACACATCCCGCGGGCAGGAGAAGACCTGCCGCGTAGAATGCCACTTTCCTGGACTTTGAGACAACCCAGACGACTCCAAGAACAGGACACAACCCTGACGTGGAAGAAGGCATTCCCACAGCTGCAGGCAACAAACCACACCTGCTGGCACCCACACCAACAAAGCTGCAGATCTGATAAGACCTCGCTCCAGCACCACCCAGCCCTCCCCAGGCTCACAGCCACTGCGGGTCCCCCTGCAGGCTGCCTACAAGAAACATTTGGGAAGTAGGTTTCACCAGGGAAAAAGTTACCCAGCTGAAAGTGGACACAAAAAGGGCCAGAGCCTCAGTGCTGCATCCCTTCAGGGATGGCTGGAGCTACTTGGCCAAAGGGTTACAACTGTGGCCACAGGGCAGAAGTGGAGGGATGCCACACTTCGAGACAGGGACTGGGTGGGAAAGGAAACCAGGTTTCAGTCTCAGTTCTGCCAGGAACCTGTGACTTGGGAGAAATCACCAAGACTCTGGGAATATTTTCCATAAAACCAGGAGGTGGTTCACGCCTGTAATTCCTGCACTTTGGGAGGCCAAGGCGGGCAGATCACTTGAGGCCAGGACTGGCCAACATGGTGAAACCCTGTCTCTACTAAAAATACAAAAATTAGCCAGGCATGGTGGTGCACGCCTATAATCCCAGCTACTCGAAAGCTAAGGCAGGAGAATTGCTTGAACCTGGGAGGCAGAGATTGCAGTAAGCAGAGATCATGCCACTGCACTCCAGCCTGGGCGACAGTGGCACTCTGCCTAAAAAACAAAAACAAAAAAAACAGGAGGTTGGACAGGCCAAGGGTTCAGTGGGGTTCCCAACGTAGGGTCCTGAAAGCTGTGCTACCAGAGTCATGACTGTGCCCTGCCTGGCCCCTTCACTAGACTAGGAGTGTCCCTAAACCCTAGAGACTGGGAGAGTCGCCCACCTACTTCAGAGCCCTTGCCAGGTGGCTGCCAGCCGGGTAAGCACAGCAACAGGAACCGAAGGTCTGTCCAGGGAATATGCCTCAGCACACCCTAAGGACCTAATCTTCAGGCCTTAGCACCCTTCCCCCTCCCAGCAGTTCCATTGTCAGATGCTCCTTGGGAAGCACAGGGAGAGCTCAGGTCCCCCACATAGCAGAGCTGTGTGAGGACCAGGCCTCTCTGACCTTCCAAGTGGCAGGAGAGCCTTCCCTCTGACCCCTCACAGCTCCAGGGCAACTGCCCAGGGAGGCAGCCCAAGGGCAGAGACTGCACCTACCACAGTTCCCAACATCACATCCCAGCAAAGCCTGATGATCAAGGTCCTTCAGCCCCTTTCTCCAGGCCAGCTTGCTTAGGAAGGATTTTTCTACGCAAGAACACAAGGCAGGGAGAGTCAGGATGGCAGAGCCTGTCTCTGGGAAGTACTAGTAGGCTGCAGGAAAGGGCAAGTCACAGTGTCCCTGGAACGTGAAGCTCCGTGAGGCAACATGTGTTTGCTTCTACCCACCCTTCTCTCCCCAGCGCTGGGCAGATTCAAAGGAATGAAGGGTATGACGACTGGAATGGGCTGCAGGCCCAGCTATGAGGCAGGCCAGGTGTCCCTCCGTGAGCACATCTGGGACATGAGAACATTCCTATTTGCCTCGGTGGAGTTCTCAGACCCCTAGGAGGGCCTAGCGGAGACAGAACACCAGGTCCTGCCAGGATGAGGTAGCCTCACAACTTCTGTTAACAGATTCACACCCTGCTTTCAGACTGTCTCCCTCCCTTTCTATTGAGAGAGGGAAAATGTGTATGATCAAGAATGCGGTCTCCAGGAACGTTTGTGAGATTGAGAAGAGATGGGCACGCTGCAGGGCAAACAGGAGGTAAATGCTAAACCTCAGCTCCTTCTGCCCTTTTCTAACCAAACTGGACCACGACACAGAGAAAAGTTATCCTCAGAAAACCAGACACACTGACCCCTGCACCCCATCTCAGCCCAGATTTTGGGCAGCAGCAGCCCATCCCCGGTCAGAGACCTCCAGGGACACCTCATGTGCTGCTTCTCCCACTGAGGGCTTATTTAATGAGGGGCAGAGTGGGCTGGGGCTCTTAAGATTCTAGAGAAGTCCGATGCAGTTGTGCAGACCAAGGCCTCCAGTCAGACCCTTCTTCCAAACCCAGGAATCCAGTGTTGCAAGCACAGTCTCTGGGGACCCTGGCCTGGTGTGTGGGGAGCCCACAGTACAGGAAAGAATGCCGAGTGGACCTCACCACACGCCCGCCTGGCCCTGCCACATGCTGCTGGGGACAGGCAGCTCCACCCAGCTTGCTGAGACTGTTTCCTAGCCTGTGTCACCCGCCTGCATGAGATGAGAGGCAGCTGCAGAAGTACCTTTCCCTAAAAGTGGCCTGTGCCGTAAGTGCTACTGGACTCTCACTAGGGAAAGCTGCCAGGCAGACCCCTTTTGAAAGCAACAATGTGAACTGACAGACAAAACGCTGCAGGTGTGAGCAGTCTCATTCCTATTTTACGGACAGGAAAGCTTGAGACTCAGAAGTCATGGGACTTGCCCAAGGTCACACAGACAGAACCCAGGCCCAAAATGAAAGCCATGTGCTTCCTGCTCACCACACTGCTCCTATGGCAACAATTCTGGTAATAAACAACCCCTACTTTACAGGCTCAGTAAATCTGGATTTTAGAACCATTCTTAAAGAGGTTATTCTTAAACAGGGGTAGTATAAAAACAATCAGAAACATTTAATTTCACCAACCGAATCTCCTTCCCTAATCTAGAGAATTTCCAGCTTCCAGAGCTCTCAGAAATCCACTCCAACCTCCTTTTTCAGGTGAGGAGGCTGAGGCCTCGAGGATGGAGTGACTCATCCAAACTAGCTGGTGGCAGCCCCATGGAACTTGCTCCAGGGGTCTAAATTCCCAACCCCAAAAACAACCCATCTCCTGCCTTTTCAGGGAGTGGGGTGAACCGGAATCCACATCTGGTGGGAAGAACAGGGAGCTGGATTTACACTGCAAATCCCCTGCGGGCCTTCAGATGGGTTCTCAGCTGCCAGGGTTGATTGTCTAAACCAACACTCAGGAGGGAAGCCACTGAATAAACCAGCTCCAAGACTTCAATAGCTGGATGCTCTGGTGCATCACCACACCACACTGCCGTCAAAATGAGGGACTCTGAAAGTCAGGGTAGGACAAAAGGCCATTCCTGAGAATGCACAGCAAGTGGTTCTCCTACATATACACTCGGAGCCAGGAGCTCTTCAGAGTGACATGGGGACAATCCCACAGAGGTCAACAGAGAGAGCATTCTCCAAGCCCAGCAACACCGAAATCCAGCCGCACACACTCTGACGGACAGCGACCCCTCCTCCCGGAACTGAGCCTCACAGGCCCCTTATTGTGTCAGCTTAAAAACTGAACTTTGCTGGGCAAACACACTCAGCTGTGTTCAACAAATCAGTTTCTCTCAACACTTGGAAAACTGCAGCATGCACGCAGAAAGGCCGGTTGTAAGGGGTTCTGTTTGTTTTTTAAGCAAAGCCTTGGTCAGTACAGCTTTAGCAACTGTAATAAAAAATCATAATACCCAGCACTGACTGTATTCTTCCAATGTCCTGTGACTTTACAGCTTCTAAGAAAATAAAACTGAAGGAGAGTCACCGCCGAGCATTTGGGATCAAACAAGGATTCAGGCTTGTGGCGTGCCTGGAGGAAGGATTGGTCTTGTAATAATTACCGCAATCACAGAGAGCCTTATGACAGCTGGCAGAGGCAATTAGCAACGGCGGAGTAGGGCGGGGCGGGAGGAGAGGACTGGTGAGAAATTGAGAATCTAATAAAATAAAACATCTCCAGACCTGCAGGAGGCCAGATGTGGCAGGGCAAGATGGTGAGAGGCCCCTTCTTCAAGACTGGGCAGCTATTAACTGGTCCCTGAGGGTTCACAGGCCGGTCCCTGGCCGAAATCACATTTGGAACGCACTAGTTGCAGTCATTTGTGTATGGACAGGGTGCCTCAATACCCTCAGGCTGGCTTTTCCAAATCCTTCTAATACTTCCCGGCTATAATTTGAGAGGAAGGCCCGCATATCTAATTTCTTCACACTCCAGGCTGTCTCCATTAGAACCCCTTAAACAGTGTCCTCTTCCCACCAAAGGCTTGCTTCCCCAGCATAATCCTTCCTAAGCCAAAATCCAATCTTTGGGGGGAAGCAGGGGGAGTCAGCGGGTAATTATTAATACATTTTAAGCAGCAAGCCTCCGTGGCAACGTGAAAGGAAAGCACCAAACGCCTCAACAGCAAAAATGCAGTTTCAGCAACACTTTTTAAAAAGCAGCAGACAAGACCTGGGAGGAGAGGAAAGGAAGAGACAGGACGGCGTCTGGGGCGTGAAGGGAAGGCAGCGGACGGCAGGCCTGCGCTCACGCTCAGGGGGACTTCCTCTGTCACCCAGCCCACGGGTGCTCGGCTCGGTCACACGGGGTAAAGTCCAGCGTGTGACTCAGTGGGACAACAAGTCCTGCGGCCCCACAAACTGGAAATGGGGTGGTGGCGGAGAAGGGGAGGAAGGTGATGTCCGCGCGCAGCCCACCCCGCCCACGGACCCCTTGAGCCTCCATCCCAGTTCCCACCACGCACACGCCCCGCAAATCCTGCCCAAGGAGAGGGCTGGTCCCGGGTCCTCCGGCTGCCGCATCAGCGAGTGCAGGAGGGAGGGGAAGCCTCTTACTGGGCGACGCGGGCTAACCTGGTCCCTGACCCTCGGGCGCTGCAGCTCCCTTACCTCCAGGGTCCGGATCTCCTGCTGGGTGAGGTCGTTGGACACGGCGCACTTGGTGCGCAGCCCGCGCAGGCTGCCGATGGAGATGTCGATGAGCTTCTGGAGCTGCCCGCACTGCTGCAGCGCCCGGCTGGCCGCGGCCCCGGCGCCTCCCTCCGCGGCCGCCGCATCCCCCCCGCCACCGCCCTCCTTCTTCTCTCCCATCGCCGCCGCGCGCAGCGCCGCTCTATCCATGCCTAGGCATCGGGGCCGCGGCGGCCGAGGCTGGGAGCCCGGGGGCGCGGGCGCCTCGGCAGGGAACCCCCGAACTGGAAGGGCTGGACCAGAAGCGCCCCTCGGCGCTGCCCGAACCGGGACGCCGGGAGAGCCGGCAGCCGAGTCCGCCGCTCCCTCCCGCCCAACTGCGGCTGCAAAGCGAAAGCCGCGGCGACCCGACGGCTTCGGCTCCCGAAGCCTTTTAAGCGGCGGCGGGGGCCGGGTCAGGGCGGCCGGGCATGCTGGGACTTGTAGTCCACGCCGCGCACCTGCCGCCGGACCCCGCCCTCGGGGCCCGCGACCGCGCCCGCGCCGCGCTCCCGACCCCCCGCTTAGCTCCCGCTGGCGGCCGCGGGTGCGGGCGGGCCCCTCCTAGGTGTCTCGGGTGGGGCTGCCCCGCGCCGGCTCCTCCCCTGGGCGCCGAAAGTCGAAAAGCCGAGTCTCCCCGTCCGCCTCCGCCTCCGCCCCCCACCCGGCCGTGGAGCTTCCCGCGACCCCCGGATGGGGCGGGGCTGAGGCGGGGAGCTCCCTGGACACCAGGCGGCTCTGCGTCCCGCCGTCCCGCAGTTCCTCAGCCGCTGCCAAGCCCTGGAAGATGGGGACCGGGGAGGCTCCAGGATTTGTGTGTGGGTTTAGGGGCCGCCATCTAGTGGGAAGGGGCTTACAGAGCCTCTCCTGTAACTGGCTCACAAAGCGCTCTGCTCTGGATTGCCGGCGCCAAGAGGATTGCTCAGGCTTGGAGAAAAGCGAAGGGCTTTCTTCTGGACCACATTTACCCACCAAAACAAGAGTCCCATCCCTCCGCCATTCACAACCCAGCCAGCCAGCTCAGACACGGGGGACAGCGCACTGAATTGTCGATGGCTTCAGAGCAAGTGCCTGAGACTCAAATTCTGATTCCACCATTGCCTAGGGTGTGACCTTGGGCACATTCGAATTCCTCTGAATGCTGAGTCTCCTCATCAAATAACTCATCGGGTTCCTGTGAAGAATGAGTTAATGTATGTACAACACCTAGATTGGCACATGTGGTCGCTGGATAAATGTTAGCAATTCTATCTAACCTCATCTGAATATGGCCCTGGATCCAAGTAGTGGGCATGGAGCAGTACGGTACTGCCAAGGACTGGGAGTCCTCTGTCTTCTGTGCCTTCCTGTGCCTCCTAACCCAGCAATCAAGTCTCGCCCATCTGTTCACCCTCGTCTCCCACTAGTTCAGCCCATGTGTTCTATTATCTGGCAAAACTGAAAAACCAAGACTCTGATCAAAGCTCCCACACCTCCATACTTTCAACATCTGTCAACCAGAAAAATGTCTCCCTCTGAATTTTCTCTTGTAAGCTGCTCGATTGCAGAAGCCACTAGCTAGTGTATTATACCCTCTTCATAGAGCCAGAGACAGTGCATGGCACACAATAAAGGCTGCAACGTGCCTCATGAGCTCTTTCGGCAGGTCCTACAGGGTGTTTCTTTTACCTCTTAGGCCAGCTGAGGGTGTGTGTGTGTGTGTGTGTGTGTGTGTGTGTGTGTACGTACAGATAGATCATTGTTTTTTTGGTTTTGGTTTTGTATTTGAGGATGAGAATTGCACAGGAGGTGGGATACAAACATTTATAGACACTAAAACCATCAATAGTAGGTGGCAGTTTATATTACACTTTCCTTTAATGCCATTTGACATTTCAAAAGAAATTAAAGGTGGGCTCATGCCTGTATCTCAGCACTTTGAGAGGCCGAGGGGGAAGGATCACTTGAACCCAGGACTTTGAGACCAGGCTGGGCAATATTGGCAAGACTTTTTCTCTTAAAAAAATAAACTTAAAAAAAATCAGGTCTAGAAAGCAAAACTATAATAACTTTAAAATGTGCTTTTGCAAATTAACCCCTCCTCTGGAGATTTTCTGAAATGCAAGGAGGTTCCTCCCTAATCCCTGACCTTTTCCATTGAAAGTCTTTAATGGAGTACTCACTCAACTTATAAAAAGACTCCCTGCACTGTATTATGAATTTCTCAACCTGTTACCTTAACCACACCCCACTCCTTGCAAAGTAGTAACTATTATGAAAGGGAAACTGTAATTATGGTTCTCAAACTGGAACATGCATCAGAATCACCTGTAGGGCTTAATTCCCAGAACCACGGACCCCACCCCTATAGTTTCTAATTTTGTAGACTGGAGGACAGGGCAGGAGAATTTGCATTGCTATCAAGTTCTCAGGTGGTCCTGATGTGATTAGTCTGAGCCCAGTCTCAAGTCTTTACTTTGAGAAGCCTTGGTACAGAGGAAGGTCAGTGGGCAGGGAACTAACTCAAGGTACGACCCACAACCCAGCCTGGCTGCTTCAGAGCCTCTGTCCAGCAGCCAGAGCTGCCAGGCTTGAACAACTCACTCACTCTAATGCAGTTCACAAAAGATTTTTTTTCTCTTTTTCTTTTTTTTTTTTGAAATGGGGTCTTGCTCTGTCACTCAGGCTGGAATGCAGTAGCGTGATCTTGGCTCACTGCAACCTCTGCCTCCTGGGTTGAAGTGATTCTCCCGCCTCAGCTTCCCAAGTAGCTGGGTCTACAGGAGTGTGCCACCATGCCTAGCTAATTTTGTATTTTAAGGAGTGACAGGGTTTCACTATATGCTGGCCAGGCTGGTCTCTAACTCCTGACCTCAAGTGATCCACCTGCCTTGGCCTCCCAAAGTGCTGAGATTACAGACGTGAGCCACCACACGCAGCTTGTATTGCTTTGCTAAGTCCAAACTTAATAGAACTTTGAGAAGAGGAGGCAAAAAGAGCATGGGAATCGCAGTTCAAAACAACTGACTCAGATCTTGACTGATACAAGTTACATGACTGTGATTGCGGTACTTCATGTTTCTAAGTCTTGGTTTCCTCACATGAAAAAGGCAATAATGATAATATGTAATCATAACCATAATACAAAATCACAAGGTTGTGATTTTTAGATGAGAGACTGTACATGAGAACTTTTTGTAACTGCAAGGAGTGATGGTTTCCTTCACCACAAATACCATCAAATGGTCAAATAGTAACATGCATACCAATGTGTCTACTCTGAGGAAGAAAATAGGACTTCATTCCCACAGAAAATTTCAAACAGGCAAACCAATGTCTCTTACATTTATATTAGAAGATTCAAAGAAAATTTGGAACTCTCTATATATTATGTTTCTATACATAGGGAAATTGTGACTGGGTCTGACTCCATTGTTGGTGGTCACATTTCTTAGCTGGTTTCACCATTTTGACAGATGTTACAGACAGCTAAAAAACCAGCATGGCTTTCCTTGAAAATTAAATGAATGAATAATGCAACTAAACCCAAGATATTCTGATATCAAGTAGACACAGTCTGATAGTATGTAATTCTAATCTTTCTATTATACTACTTTGCCCAAATTTCAGACTCTTTTTCTCTTCTCAGGTTTTATATGTGCCTTTCTACTACTCCAGCTCTCTACTTTTTTTCTTTTTTTGAGACTGAGTCTGGCTGTGTCGCCCAGGCTGGAGTGCAGCAGTGTGATCTCAGCTCACTGCAACCTCTGCCTCCTGGGTTCAAGTGATTCTCCTGCCTCAACCTCCCAAATAGCTAGGATTACAGGCCCATGCCACCAAGTCCAGCTTAGTTTTGTATTTTTAGTAGATATGAGGTTTCACCATGCTGGTCAGGCTGGTGTTGAACTCCTGACCTCAAGTGATCTGCCTGCCTCAGCCTCCCAAAGTGCTGGGATTACAGGCACGAGCCACCACATCCGGCCAGTTCTCTACTTTTTGACTTTTCTTTGTCTTGGCAGACAGAGGAAAAGATAAACTTGTACTTGGGTTTTACATATTGTTTAAAAGATTGACAAAGTATTGTGACTAAATTCTTTACTTTTATAGAAATATGATGTCTTTTTTGACATTTACTATTAAAAAATATGATGTCATAATAGTGGGGGGCTCAAGCTTCCTGCCACAGAACTTGGATAATGCTTTAGCCTCACATACGTTGTTCTAAATATAAAATATTGTCAACAGGACATTTGAATTGCTTTTCCAGTAACGGGAAAAAATTGTTTGATGTGAAACTCATTTCTTGCTTTCTTTTCTTTCTGAACAAGGACTCACATTTATAATGTAGCAGAGTGGTTAGAATTATTATCAAAGAAAAGAATGGAATCAGCTTGACTCGGTTATATGTATACCAAAACCTTGGATTTATCAGCTTTCTGCTAAAAACTTTGTAAGCATATCTTTAAGATCATGTTCAAAAATAGAAACATGAAATTTGCTACAAAATAGAGCATACACCACAAACTGAACTGTTTAATAGGAGAAGGCTGTGTATACGTGGGTTTAGGGATGATGAGTTTAAAAGTTATACAAAGAGAAATATAATTTCAACAAGCCACATTTGTACTCTGAATAAAGAAAGCAACTTCACTGGTTTTAAATTAAATTCTGTCAAATGTGTATCTCCCCCAGATATCCAGAGACAGAATCATAGGATTGAACTAGATGTGACCTTAGACAAAATAGATTTCCTCATTTTAAAAATGAGGAGAATTAAAACTGAGAGAGGCTAAATGGCTTTCCCACAATAACATGGTCAAATAATTGCTGAGCTTAAGTTTGAAGTTAGACCTCCCAATATTCACTGCAATGCTCTTTTTGCTGTATCATACTGTCTCCTTATATGTATTTTCCTGTACTTATAACCAAGTTTTTATTCATTGTAAAGAGTGGCTACATATTAAGCTATTAATAGTTTTTCGTACCTTGCATGTAAATAAATAGTGCAACTAGAATGGATCACTTCACATTGATTTTTTTAAAAAACTTTTCCTACTAGTCATAATCCTTTGACCTCATTTGGAAATTTACATGCCACTGTCACAACTCTTTTACCACATTCTGAAAGCAAATGTGGCATTCTGCTCTCTGAAAGGAATTATAAAATATAATTCTAGAGCACATAAATGCAACTAATGTGGCCATTGTCTTTCTTTGGACATTTATTACTTTCCTTATTTATACTTAAGATGAAAAACATACAAAGGATGAAACAGATAAGATTTCAATAGTACTCAACCACTATGGAGTAAGTGGAGAAAGGCATACAATCACTTAACTCTATTGCCTTGCTTTAGTCGATGTCACTTACAGCAATCTATAATACAAATATTTCAGGACTATCCATCACAACAA